CCTTGGAGAAGGAGTGGCAGGGCTGGGGTTGGGGGAGATAAAAAGCCCCGAGGAAAAGAGTAAATTTTCCTTTGAACTCAGAGGGTCCTTCCTCCAGCTTTGTCCAAACCCCACCCCAACATAAACTTTCCCTTTCCCATTGCCCCCCACAAACACCCTCGTCCTGGCCTGAATAGCAGTAAAGATCTATCTAAAAAAAACCTCTCTTCTTCCTGATTTTAGTATTTTTTCCATATTCAGGTCCTTGCCATCATGTGCCGAGAGAGTGGGGCAATGGCTGTGAGAGCGAGGTGTTTTCCTGTGAGGATAGGGAGAGGGCAAGATGTGAATTCTCTCCCCTTAGGGTGTGTTTAAGTCTAAATGTGGGGCATTTTCCTACAATCTGCAAAGAATGGGCTGTGGGAGATCACATGACCTGGGTTACTGAGTAACACATGAATGGTGGGAATGCTCCATTCATAAAAAAAAAAATCCTGATTCCAAAGAGCAGCGTGAGGACCAGATGGGCAGGGAGCTGAGAGCAAGGCTGCTGGAGGGAAAGGGGAACTGCCTGAACAGGACCTGGGGATTGCTAGCCACAGGGCTGTTGCAGGATAGGTGGAGTTGCTAAAATGCTGGGAACGTTCTTTTAACCCCCCCTCATCCCCCAAACAAATTGCAAATTAACTCTTTACTCACCCCTCCACCTCCCCAAAAGCAGACATTTCCATCTGAGCCGGTAAATATCTCCTTGGCCCATACAGACAGGTATCAATAGTCTTGCGTCAGCTGGTGGCCCTTCTGGCATGGACCAGCTGGGGGGGGTGGTGTATGGCTGAGGGTATCAGTCTTGTCCAAGGGGCTCAGATATTATTAGTAGTGAAAGCAGTACAAATGCCTAAATTCCTACCACTAGAACTCCTCATGATCTTGCTTTCCTAGAATGGATGAAACTTAGAAGGATGAATTATTTTGGTAATGGTTTTCTTCACCATTATGCAAACAGCTGAAATTAAGTCTCTTATCAGATTCTTGAATTTGGTTTCACTGAGCTGACAATGAAACCAGTCTTGTCCAACTGATAGCTTGCCTTCTTCCTACTGAATCAGCAGAGATTATCAACTAGCATAGACCATCCTCACCCTAACAGTTGTATATTTATTGTGGGCTACTTGTTAAACTGACTACAGAACAGTGGTGAAAATGACATGTATAATTTGGGTTCAGCTGTGCTCCTGGCCAGCAATTTCATTCCAGTGGAGCATCTTTCTGTAAAACCCTTGGATGAAAAGGATCGCAGAACTGGGACAAGCTGAATTCACAAATAAAATTCCTTTTGCATCATCCCTGTCATGTCATATTGGAAAACTGTGGCTGCGTGCGGCCACACACAGCCCCAGGGAAAGTTTTCTTTTATTGCTCTGTTCCACTGAGAAACTGCTCGTGGAAACATTAGCAAGTACACCCCTTCGAAACCTGCAACCGGGCAGTTCAGTGCAGGACTCTGTTTTGCAATGGAGGGTCTGATCCTGCAAGCTGCTGGAAACTCATGATTCTAGCTGACATCTGGGGCCCTGGAAACCTTGCAGGATTGCCACCTTAATTCCCCACATGGAGAGTAGCAGGTGAAATCAAGCAAGGGTCTGGGGGAAGGGGTCTATAATCACTTTCATGGCATGAGTGACTAGTGTTGGCAACAAATCTATCTGAATTCCGCTCTCGTCTTGGCTTTGTTGGCTATGTATCTACCAAACCGATAAATCCGCCGTGGCTCTGTGTGTATCTGCATTCATCAAAGGCTCCAGGTTATTAAACAGAGAGCTGTGGAAACTAAAACCCAAGAACAGGTATAGTCTGGGCAGTGCCGGTCTCCCCTCACGATGTCTGTGTCTCAGTTCTGATCCTAAAGGGACCGCCTCCTCCGGGGGGGGAAAAAGAGCTGTTCAATCTACATGACCTATTGACTCCTCCGTGCTCTGTTGAGACTGCCAGCAGGGGGAGCCATCCAACACACTGTGTTCTTAAGTATCAGAGGGGTAGCCACGTTAGTCTGGATCTGTAAAAAGCAACAAGAGTCCTGTGGCACCTTATAGACTAACAGACGTTTCGGCGCATAAGCTTTCGTGGGTGAATACTCACCACCTGATGAACTGTGTGTTCTTAGTTGTCTATGACAGTGGTTCTTAATAGGGCTGTCAATTAATCGCAGTTAACTCAGGCGATTATCTCAAAAAATTAATTGTGATTAATCGCACTGTTAAACAATAGAATGACAATTGAAATTTCTTAAATGTTTCTGGATGTTTTTCTACATTTTCAAATATATCCATTTCAATTGCAACACCGAATACAAAGTGTACAGTGATCACTTTATATTATTTTTATTACAAATATTTGCACTGTAAAATGATAAGCAAGCGTATTTTTCAATTCACCTCATACAAGTACTGTAGTGCAATCTTTCATAAGTGCTACTTACAAATGTTTTTTGTTGCATAACTGCATTCAAAAACAAAATAATGTAAAACTTTAGAGCTTACAAGTCCACTCAGTCCTACTTCTTGTTCAGCCAATCGCTAAGAGAAACAAGTTTGTTTACATTTACGGGAGATACCGCTGCCTGCTTCTTATTTACAATGTCACCTGAAAGTGAGAACAGGCGTTCGCATGGCACTGTTGTAGCTGGCATCGCAATATATTTACATGCCAGATGCGCTAAAGATTCATATGTCTCTTCATGCTTTGGCCATTGTTCCTGAGGACATGCTTCCAGGAACATGCTGATAATACTTGTTAAAAAAATAATGCGTTAGTTAATTAAATTTGTGACTGAACTCCTTGGGGGAGAATTGTATGTCTCCTGCTCTGTTTTACCCGCATTCTGCATATATTTCATGTTATAGCAGTCTCAGATGAGAACCCAGCACATGTTGTTCATTTTAAGAACACTTTCACTGCAAATCTGACAAAACGCAAAGAAGATACCCATGTGAAATTTCTAAAGATAGCTACAGCACTCAACCCAAGGTTTAAGACTCTAAAGTGCCTTCCAAAATCTGACAGGGATGAGGTGTGGAGCATGCTTTCAGAAGTCTTTAAAAGAGCAACACTCTGATGCAGAAACTACAGAACCCAAACCACCAAAAAATAAAATCAGCCTTCTGCTGGTGGCATCTGACTCTGATGATGAAAATGAATATGCGTCGGTCCACACTGGTTTGGATCATTATCGAGCAGAACCAGTCATCAGCATGGACGCATGTCCTCTGGGATGGTGGTTGAAGCATCAAGGGACATATGCATGGGTGGCGGGTGGAGCCCCACTCTGGGGAAGTTAGTCCCCAGCTCTGCCCCTTCCGCCCATGCCCTCCCCATGGCCGGAGCCACGAGACCCCTTGCACACACACCCTGCAGCCAGAGCCATGAGTCCCCCACCCCTGCCCTGAGCACCCCCCTCCACCTGCCTGGAGGGGCCCTGGGCCAGGCACAGCCCGGAGCGCCCCCTCTTCCCCCCCCCCCATCTGGAGGAGCCCAAACCAGGCTGGCCAAAGCCCCGAGCCTTCCCGCCCCACCCAGTGAAGCCCCGGCCGAAGTCCCGAGCTGAGCCTTCCTCCGCCTGGAGGAGCCCAAGGCTGGCCACAGCCATGCCTCGCCTCCCCTCCCCAAACCCAACCAGGCCACTGCCCAGGAGAAAAGCGTCTGTAGAAGACACTTTTTGATATGCCCCAGACAGGTTTGATATGCCTCCTCCGCCGTCCCAGAACCTGCATGGGGCATAATAAAGCAAAGACTTCACCGCCAAACCCTGCAACCAGAGGTCCGGCAGCCGCGGCCATGGCGGGGGAAGCAGAGCCTCCCCTGGCCTATTATACCCGCTGCCCATGGACATATGAACCTTTAGCGCATCTGACATGTAAATATCTTGCAAGACCAGCTACAACAGTGCCATGCGAACGCCTGTTCTCACTTTCGGGTGACATTGTGAACAAGAAGCAGGCAGCATTATTTCCTGCAAATGTAAACAAACTTGTTTGTCTCAGCGATTAGCTAAACAAGAAGTAGGACTAATTGGACTTGTAGGCCCTAAAGTTTTACGTTGTTTTATTTTTGAATGCAGGGTTTTTTTTTGTATATAATTCTACATTTGTAGGGTCAACTTTCACGATAAAGAGATTGCACTACAGTACTTGTATGAGGTGAATTGAAAAATACTATTTCTTTTGTTTTTTACAGAGCAAATATTTGTAATAAAAAATAAAACCAGCACTGTACACTTTGCATTCTGTGTTGTAATTGAAATGAATATATTTGAAAATGTAGAAAACATCCAAAAATATTTAAATAAATGGTAATCTATTATTGTTTAACAGCGCAGTTAATCGCTATTAATTTTTTTAATTGCTTGACAGCCCTGGTTCTTAACCAGGGGGTACATCAACTCATCTAGATATTTGCCTAGTTTTACAACAGGCTACATAAAAAGCACTAGGAAAGTCAGTACAAGCTAAAATTTCATACAGACAATGACTTCTTTATAGTGATCTATGTACTATACACTGAAATGTAAGTACAATATTAATATTCTAATCAATTTATTTTATGATTATATGGTAAAAATGAGAAATTCGGTGATTTTTTTTTTTCAGTAAAGTGCTGTGACACATTTGTATTTTTAGGTCTGATTTTGAAAGCAAGTAATTTTTAATTGAGATGAAACTTGAAGGTACACAAGACAAATCAGACTCTGAAAGGGGTACAGTAGTCTGGAAAGGTTGAGAGCCACTGGTCTATGAAGCAACCCTTTCAGGTCAGCGTATCTTCCAGAAGTGTCTCTGGGGAGGTAAGCACTCGGGCTTCCTTGTGTCTGTCTGTCCATCCTTTGTCAAGCTCCACGGTGGAAAGAGAACGCCCTTGTTCCAGTGAGACTGCAACCTGGGGAATGTGGTTCTTTTCTCGCCGTGCCACAGGAAACTGGGTCTTCTCGCAATGTCTAACCTTTGTTCCCTTCTCTGGCCTCCTAGAGCAAGCTCCACATGGAGGGATTCCGCAGCCTGAAAGAAGGCGAGGCAGTCGAGTTCACCTTCAAGAAGTCATCCAAAGGCTTGGAGTCCATCCGAGTGACTGGCCCTGGGGGCGTGTTCTGCATTGGGAGCGAAAGGAGACCAAAGGGAAAGAACCTCCAGAAACGCAGATCAAAAGGAGACCGGTAAGGGCAGCAGGGCAAGGGATGCACGGTGATCAGACAGGGGCACCTGATCTCCAAGGGCTTTGTGATCAGCCTAGCACCTGACCTGAGCCATATTGGGGAGAGCTTCATGGGGGAGGCCAGGATGGGAGGAGACACATAGTCAAGACTGGTTTGTGGACTATGTTCTGATGTGGTAACACCCTCTCCACCCATCTGCCATCCACCCACCCCTCTGTTTGTATCATTCCTTCCTTTGAAACACTTGTTCTGTGCCCGGTCACTTAGCACCTCTTCATTTCCAAACATGCCCCAGAATCTTCTGCCTCCTTTGGGGCCCGGGCTAAGATTCTGGAGTTTATCCAAGATCCAAAGGCATCCACTTCTGCAAGGAAATTTCCCTGTCGGAGAAGGGCAGGTCGTTGTCACTCTGCTTCGGAGGAGGTCACCAAGGTAACCCCGGTTCTATACCGGTGGCAACCAGTGGAGACCACCAGTGTAGCTTCTACACAAGGCCCCAATGGACAGACACCTCATGCGTGTGTCTGCTGTGACCCTGCGAGGGAGCTCTGCAGGACAGACACCCAACTGTTAGTGGGGCTGGACGTTACTGATATTAAAGGGGCTGATAAAAAGGCGCTGGGCTGGGGAGACCCCATTTGGCTGCTGGGCCTTTGGGACACAGCTGGGAAGGCATGAGGCTGAATATCACAGCGCCACTGGGAACAGGAGGGTTCTTGCCACAGGGCTCCTGGGGGTAGGAGAGGCAGTGGCCCTTCCCCTGAAAGATGCTTCCTTCAGCTTTTAATGAGTGTCAGATGCAGATTTCTGGGGAAAGGGCAGAAAACCAGAAGTGAAAGGCCAGAGGTCAAAAACACCCAGGGCTGAATGGCATGGACCAATGCTCCCTTTCTGTTTGCGTGTGTTCAGGATGGCGCTGTAGCCACACAGCAAATTGGGGGAGGGAAGGGGTAATTTTCTCTCGTAAAAGCCCAGCGTTGTGAGATCGGTGACTGCTCAGGAAATGGCCAGACAGCCGAGCAGAGTCTCCCACGGCAGCTTTGCAGCCCAGAGGCGAGGCTCTTGTTAGCCCCGTGTAGCCTTCCCCTCCCACCCCGAGTTTGCAAGGGGGTTCCTCAGGGTCTTCCCTTACATCCTAGGCAGGCATCAGCACGGCTGCATGAAAGTGCTGCCCCCTGGTGGTATTTTGAAGAATATTTCACAGGCTGTGAAAAGAACGGCCTGTTTGCAGCCATCCATTTCTGATGAGTGGCTTCTGCAAGGGGATTTAAATCCATTTGGGGCCTTTTTTGTTTTGATTTTTTTTCTTGGCTTTGGTAATTTGATCATAGAAATGCAGGACTTAACATGAAAATGTGGACAAAAGCCAGAAAAATACACTGACGTAGGCTTGGCAGAATTTGATTAGTATCTTTTTATAATTTCAGTGGACAATATCGGCAGGAGGGGTCTGGGTGCCGGGGCTCCGGGTTCTGGGGGAGTGGGGTTGATAGGGTGGGGGTCTAGGTGCAGCTGCTTGGGGATCAGTGGGATGGGGGTCTGGGCAGGGCCGACAAGAGGGGGGGAAGCTGGTACAAATCACCAGGGCCCGGCAGTCCAGAAGGGGGCCCGGGGCCCGGCTTTTCCACCCCTCCCCTGTTGGCCCTGTTTAGCCGGTTTGCCCTTGCTGGGGGGCCCGAAAAATTTTTTTTCACCGGGGCCCGAACCCGCTCTCGGCAGCCCTGGGTCTGGGTGTGGGGGGCTCATCGGAGGGGTCCAGGTGTAGGAGGGTAGGGCTTGTCAGGGTGAGGGTTTGATGGGCCTGCTTAACGGGGGAGCCCCAGCTGCTGCCAAGGGGATGCCGCATGCCAGGCTCCCCCTTCCCCCCACAATTCCCCATCCTCTTTTCTTCTCCATCCCTGTCCCCTCACTCCTATACACCTCCTTCCTTCTGCACTGCCTCTTCTCCCCCCCCCACTCCCTCACCTTCCCTTCCCTCATTGCCCCCACCCCCCTCTTTCACAGAAAACAGGAAGGCTCCCAGCACACAGAAGGGGAGAACGACTGGCACTAGAACCCAGGAGGCAGTGTTCGGCTTCAGTGAGCACTTGTAGAAATGGTGGGGGGGAGGGCAGTGGCACGTAACCCTGTGTGTCCCCATGCCCCACCTCTGCTTGGTGGGGCAATCCCCCCCAAACTGCACCCCTGGTTCCTCCCCCACCCCTGGTGACTTAGCCATTTTCTGTGGGTGGGCAATCACTTGGACACGCCTCTCTCTCTCTCCTTCCCCCCCACCCCCCTCCAGTAACTCTCCTGGATGGAATCAGAACTAGTCAGCTGTCTCTCACAGGCTCTATAGAGATTTTCCTCCACTTTTGGAGCAGGAGGATGTGAGTTCTGTCCCAGTCTGATGACCACAACGTTTCCATAGATTTGTTACCGCAGTCATGGGGACACCAGTCAGGGCTGGGAAACCAGCTGGTTCTCCCCACCTGCGGGTCACATGTGCTCCTGCTCAGGGCGTAACAAGGTCAGGCAACTGGGAAAGCTTTAAGCAGCACCGGCAGTTGGAATGACCATACCCTGACCCACTGATTTCTCTCCCCGGATCTCCGTCTCTCCCCTTCCTCTTCCTAGATGCTACAACTGTGGTGGGCTGGACCATCATGCCAAAGAATGCAAGCTGCCGCCGCAGCCAAAGAAATGCCACTTCTGCCAGAGCATCACCCACATGGTTGCCAACTGCCCCATCAAAGCACAGCAATCGCCCAGCTCTCAGGGAAAGCCCGCCTACTTCCGGGAGGAAGAAGAAATGCACAGCTCGTCCCTTCTTCCTGAAACCAGAGAATGATGGTGGGGGATTGGGGGGTGGGGGAGGAGATTTCCATCAGGATCAAAAGGCTTCAGCAAGGGATCGGTCAGCAAAGGGGGAGCAGCGAGCAGTCTCTGCCGTCATGATGTAGGGGGGTTGGTGTAAAGAAGGGATGGGAGGGAGGGTGGCAGCTCAAACTGTAGGATGCAACCTGCCAGGCCACGGCGCTGGTATCTGGACAGAAGGACTGGGATGGTTGTATGTTGGTTACAAAATCCCAGCACAGATCTCATCCCCCACACACACACTTTGGGTACGTCTTCACTGCCCACCGGATTGGCGGGTAGCAATCGATCCCCGAACATGCTCCCCGTCAACTCCGGAACTCCACCAACGCGAGAGGCGGAGTCGACGGCGGAGTCGCGGCCATCGATCCCGCGCCGTGAGGACGGGAGGTAAGTCGATCTAAGCTACGTCGACTTCAGCTATGCTATTCTCGTAGCTGAAGTTGCGTATCTTAGATAGATCTCCCCCGCCCCAGTGTAGACCAGCCCTTTGAGTGGGAAGAACCCGGTTACCCCTCTGTCCAGATGCCCAGCTCCAAAAGTGGGAGAGGGAGCAGCCTTGTAACCCTGTACCTAACCACTTCCTCCAACCGAAAGCCACGTGCCGCTCTAGTTTCTTTCCCCGTGTTTGGTGATTTTTACTTTTTTAAACAAACCTTCCCAGTAGTGTTTGTGAACCCCTGGGGTCACTTTGGGTGGAGCAGGACCGGTGCCTCCATTCTAGCAGGAGAACAGAGACCGGTTCTCAACGGCAAGCTAGAAACTAGTGAGCAATCTGTTCTTGCTAGACACGGGCGAGCCAAATGGATCTCGCCCAGGATTGCTGCTTGCCCAGGAATATCCACTGTCCACCTGCAGGGGAATGGTGGAACAGCATACCTCTCTTGAATTAAGTGTTAGCTGGCCCTGAAATAATTGGGAAGAGCCTCTTTATTTATTTAAGGCTTTCCATGCTGGAATGAGGGTTTTGTAGCCTTGCTGGGACCTGCTCCTCTCTGAAGGCCCTTCGTTTCAGAGCCACCCAGACTTCATATCCCTCATCTCTCCCAGTTTGTGGGGGAGGGGAAGGAGTTGATGGTAGAAGTTGGGCTTTTTATGCCCCCAAATTAGCATGAAAAGGCCTTTTTCTAGGGGCCAATCCTGGGCCCTCTAAAATGATTTCAGTGAGCTCGGACCTTGGCTCCTAGCATTTAACTAGGCTCGGGGTTTCTTTAACTGAAGGCCATTGTAATGTAATGCTGACTTTTTAAAATCTCTAGCTATATTAGCAAGAGACAGATCAAAGCAACACATGGCCTAGTTGGAAGGAAACCCGGGCGAAATTAAAACTGTAACAAATGGGACATTTGTAAAATTTTGGGGAGGAGTTCTTCCAGCCTTGCCAGCATCTGCTGTCCTGGTCTGCCGCTCGCTGCCTGTCAGCGTGCATGCGGCACACGAGCGGCAGCATTGCCTCAGTGGCAGGAGGCATGGAAACACGTGTCTTGGAATCGATCATGGTGGGTCCTCATTGCCCAGGGCCTGCAATGCAGGGTCCGACAGAGGAAGAAGCCATATTCCCACACACAGACTGTTTTTAAAGGTGAGAGCACCTACAGTGGAATATATTTAATGTCGCCCTGTGCCTATAGGGGCCGAATCAGTGGGAGTCTTCCCATTGACTTCAATAGACTTTGAATCAGACCTATATTGTATACAATTTGCTTCTGTTCCTCCCTTTATTAGGGCCCAATCCTCCAGTCCATATACATCCGTAATGCCCTTTTTAGAGCATAAGGGCTGCAGGCTCGGTCCTTTCCTTTCCTGTAGGAACAGGGTGACCTTCTGTCAGTTAAAAGCTGCTGCCTTCTCTCCCCACTTTGCCTTCCCCCACCCCCTCTATTCTGCCTTTTATTTATTTGTTCCCATGGACAACTGCCCTTGCAATGCAAGGCCCCCCCACCCCATCCATGCTGAAGCTGACGTGATGTGAAACCTGCACTAGGACGTGCGCGTATGACGTATCTTTGGGTTTGTTTGTCGTCTTTGTTTTTTTTTAATATAAATATTCTGTTTTTTTGTATTTTTGTATATTTTAATCTTAAAGAGAGAGGACATAACTACTGCAACTTATTCTCAGGTATTTGAGCAATCTCAGGGATGAACAACCTCTGCAGCTCCAGTGCTGGATGGAGTGGAATTTTGTTTTTTGTTTTTTAACAGCACAAAGATAGAACAAAGTTTGTATTTTAAACTGTAGGTCTACCTCGCTGGATGTTCGTCAGGTGGACTGATTATTTTTAAAACTGTATTTTTTAATAGATTCTCTTCTCCCTCTCACTGTATTTACATGAAATTTGGGACTTTGTGTCCACGGGTGGTTAAAGAGAAGTCAGTCAATGTTGCAGAGGAGGGTACAGCCGCCTGTATCTGTATTTTGGTACCGAACTCCAAATTCCCTCCCAGCCTGGCCATGTTTCCATCTCCCCTCCTCATTCCTGTCCATTCTCAATTCCGCTCACTGGCTGGAAACATTCCTGTCTCCCTAGTTTTTGCCCCAATCCAATTTTTGCTGACTATCATCACTCATTGTTCTGCTGGTGACTTCCTTCCGTATAGATCCCCAGTGACCTAGCTCAGTGCCCGACTTCACATCAGAAATGGGGGGACAATGACTGATTGGATGTCACTCCAGCCCTGGAAGTGGGGGGTTAATCTGGATTGGAGGCAGAAGGAAGCCTGCTGCTCTTGCACCTGGTTATTCCTCTCTCTGAGAGAGCAAGAGCCTTTCAGTGCATATATTAAGGTCCTAAACGGGCTATAACATAAATACCTTCTTTAAAAACTCCTTTTTCTCTGCACGGCTGTGAAATGTTGGCTGTGAGGTTCTCGCCTCCTTACCCCCACCTGGACTGTTTGCATTTCTAGGAAACCTGCAGTATAACCAGAATAAATGTTACAATGCTAACTCTTCACAAGAGGAGGCCCTTCTGGTCCAACCATCTCTACCTAGTGCTAATGTGCTTTGACTCCAGCACCTCCTTGGGGGATGTGAATGGAGCTGGGCACGTAATGTATGCTGCGAGTTCCCAAAGCCAGCCCTATCATCCAAATTTGTAGCAGATTCAGATACAATTGCTCCCCTTTTCTCTTCCCTGCCCCCTGCTTCTCCCCTCTCCACTTTCCTCAAATGCTAGCCAGCAATTGCTGGGTGGGACTATGGAGTCCTGTCCTCGAGCCAGGAACTGTTACATTCCTGTGCGCTCTGCAGCCAGAGGACCTGGCCATACCGCCCCTCCCCGGTACGGGATAATGCTGACATGGTGGTATGTTTCAGAATGTGTGTGCAGTTTCCACTATAAGTTTTAGGTAGTAATAGAATAGATTTAGATCAGGGCAGGAAATGTCAAGCAAGAGAGATCTCTAATCTTCCAAACAGGTACCAGGCGGAAATTAGGGGGAATCCGAGGCACTGCTTAAGAGTTTCCCCCTCCGAGGCTTCCCTCTGCCGCAGGGATATGAATTTGGAGAGCAGGAGTGCTTAAAACAGTTGGAGTGAAATGCTCACCTCTCAGAACTCTGGGAGCTGCTATCCAAGGGGCTGATCCAGCTCCCATTTAAGTTGATGGCAAAACTTCCCTTCTAAGGGAGATGAATCAGGCAGGGCCGGCTCCAGGGTTTTGGCCGCCCCAAGCAGCCAAAAAAAAAAAAAACGCCATCGCTATCTGCGGCGGCAATTCGGCGGGAGGTCCTTCGCTCCCAGGCGGAGTGAGGGACCGTCCGCCGAATTGCCGCCGAATACCTGGACGTACCACCCCTCTCCGAAGCGGCCGCCCCAAGCACCTGCTTGACAAGCTGATGCCTGGAGCCGGCCCTGGAATCAGGGCCCAAATGAAAAAGAGGGGCTAGGAAGCATTGTGTTTGTAACACACTGCCCTGCTAAATCATTGTGAAAAGTGACTAGCCTGGTCAGAAAATATACTTGCCTGCCTTTAGCAAGTCAGATATTTATTGTGATAATGAACAGTTAGCCTCGCAAGGCTCCTTAACACACACTGTTATAACCCTGGTATGCACGAGAGCCACCTAGGTGAGATGCCAGTCTCAGATGTTGCCTGTATCTAGGCTTGGTGGATGGAGGGAAGCTCTCATGCTGGCTTTCTGCCCTGCTGCAGTAGTGAGTGTGGTGACGTGGTGATGGCCCTTTTGAGGGGAAAAAAAGGAAGTTTGTTTTTTAAATAGCTATGGGATCTATACAAATCTACCTCAGGATAACTTCTCTGTCTGAACGGGGTAAATGCAATAGAATGCATTGGGTTGTGTGCCTCTAACCCTGGGTTCCAGTACCCCTGTGCCACACACACAGGGAACTGTTGACCATCCTTTGGCACCTTAGGTGTGCCAATGGGTAAATGCTGCCCCTTCTAGTTTTGTATCTGTCTTGAAGAATTGTGTAGAACTTTTCCAAGTAATCAGTCTGGTGATTTGCTAGGTGTCTAGTATGTGTAAATATCTATGTAAATCTCTCCACTTTCTTTCAATATTCTCCTTGATTATTGTTTACAAACTTTAAAAAAAATAGCCAAAGCATCTGATGGGTTTTTGGACCAGGGAGATGGGATCCTCTCTGTATGCTCTGCCCGTGCAGGGAGGTGACTTAGGTAACCAGCCCCATCCTGGGCTCTGGTGAGAAAATGAATCATAAAGCCCTCAGGTTTTCTGCTGTCAATAGAGCAAATTGCCTCCCAAGAAAACAGTGATTGATTTGTAAGGGGAAGCCACGCTAGAGAAGATGAAATTTTTCAGTATTCAATTGCATCTTCTTTTTTCTGTGGTTTGCAGTATCCTTTGCCACGTACACTACAATACTCTATGTACCTCCATCTGCAGACTGAAGATCTTTGTTGTGGCTTTTTCCATTCCTTGATGATCTTGTAGATAAATTGCTGCAAGAGACTTACTGTCATCACCTCCTCTGCTTGTGCACGGTTTGCAGGCAATGGACGCTATGCATTATGGGACAGCAGGTAGACTATGCCAAGGTATCTTTGAGCTAGGAACTTAACCCAGGTCTGCCCTGTTCACTAATCATCCTTCTTACAGAAGCTCTAAGTATTAGTCCTAACCAAAAATATAGGAGCATTTGAATGTTAGGGGGATAAAATACCCCTGGAGGAATGATTCTCCCCTGGTGCAAAAACTTGGGAGTAAAGTGGCTACAAGATTGTCTACTGTCAGACGGAAGAATGTAACTCCATGTTTACTGCTAGCAACCAAAGCTTGTTTGTGTCAAACTCTTGAATTTTTATGAAGCGGGAAGGGGTGGGAGGGAGGGAGTAAGAGGGTGAATGTGTACGATTTTGGGGGTTGTCT